CATAACTTAAGTTTATGCAACATTTGAATTCATTTAAATTCTATAAATTTAACTTCAATAAAAGATGACAAACTAAACAAAATTTTCTCAATAAATCAATACATTCTAACTTATCGATTAATTAATATCTTTGTAAAGGGATAAAAAGAAAATCATTGATAAACTATAGTTTCTATAAATTAATAAATTTTGAAAGATACAATTGTTAAATTATAAAATTTTTACTATTTGTATGGTAATATTATAACACTTCATTAACTTGTACCACTTTTTGGGTGAGCAATCATTAAAATAACTCTTCAAAATATAATATTACTAGAGATTGTTCACACGTTGCGTGGATTTAAAAATTAACATGGTAAAATATGCAACAATTCTAGATTATTGATTAGTTGTCTATTTAAAATTTCAAAAAATTGTTGTTGTAGTAAATAACTATATAGGTTAGAAAATTAAGCATTTGGAGCAAATTGTTGAACATATATAATGTTATATGTGAAAGAAATAGTTTGTTCATTAATAAAAATTAAGCATATGCATATGGAAGATATCTTCTTTTGCACAAATCCGCAACTTGTATGTCTTTATCATTATTCACTACAGTTCCCTAAAAAATGGTTGGTTGTCTTTTTTTATAGCATCAAATACGTTTGTAATAAAAAATTATTGATCAGATAAGTTATAGTATGTTTTGCTTCTATCGAGAAATCTGCATTATCTCTACAGAGATGTTGGAATGCATCTTTGTGTATTATTTCGTTAGAACCTTAAATTATAAGGAAAAAGTAATTGATTTTGATTGTATTTTTTGTGTTAGTCTTTTTATCGTTTTCTACGATTTTTATCTTCCATATTGATTTATTTGTGAATTATTATGTTTTACTGGATTCACAATTTGTGGAGGACTAAGGTTCCTTTCGAGAGTATTGGTTAGGAAATGATTGACAATTTTAACATTCTAACAACCTTAAAATTTCTAAAATCACTAATTAATTTTTTCACACCATTTTTTTTTGTTAATGTTACGATTTTTTTAATTAAATTTTTTGTGACTTTTGTTTTAAAATGGTAGTTACCTATCTAAAGTTTTAAATATATTTATTGTATAGTATATTACTGGGTTAAATAAATAAAATATATATTTTTCAAACCGTTAAAAATTTACAATAACAAATTTAATTTAGAATTATAATTTTTGGTGGATATCAAAAAAAAAAAAACTGAAATTGGTCATCCTTATGTTACACTTTCATTTTTTGAATTAATTTACATTAAACTTAGCTATTAAAATGTAGGAATTAATTGTTAAAGTTATTAAGATCACTTTTTTCAATAAATAAATTAAAAAGATAAATGTCAAAAGAATAGGTGATACATGGCATCCTCTCATGACTTGGGTTTAAAAAACCTTAAAATATTATATAAAAATATTATTGGGTTAAATAAATAAAATATATATTTTTCACACCGTTAAAAATTTACAATAACACATTTAATTTAGAATTATAATTTTTGGATATCAAAAAAAGAAAAAAACTGAAATTGGTCATTCTTATGTTACACTTTAATTTTTCGGATTAATTTACATTAAACTTAGCTATTAAAATGTAGGAATTAATTGTTAAAGTTATTAAGATCACTTMATTTTTTTTYMAWWAAWWAAWWAAAAAAWAWAAATGTCAAAAGAATAGGTGACACATGTCATCCTCTCATGACTTGGGTTTAAAAAAACTTTAAAATATTATATAAGATTGTTTTTTTTGTACTATCATTATTTGTATTGCTTCTAACTATAGTATCATTTTGTAACGTTATTTTATAACAACAAAAGTTTTGTACCATCTTGTATTATATATATCAATCAATCCCATATATGTAACAGAAAGTTTGGACATACGTTGTTTTGATGACATTTGTCTTGTTTATATTGTCAATAAACCATTTGTAGCTAAGAAAAAATGTATTACAAATATGTCTCCCCATTTACTAAAAAAAAGAAACGTTTTCACCGGTATATGAATATATACGTGCATACATGTTTTGAGACTGAAAGACATGCTCCCAATGGTTTTTACGATTGGGAAAATTTGGGGTTGGTATGACAGCTTTGCCACAAGGACTACAAAAATATGATTGCCGTCCTTATAGATTTGCTCTTTAATTTCATTTTAAATCAAGTTTTAGGTTTTTTTTGTCTATTTTTAATAATGTTTTAAAGTTTCTATACAATATAATTTTTTTTTTGTATTTTAAATTGATTATAATTAATATTTAATTTTTAAAAATATGTGTGCAACAAGAGCAAATGTTAGGTTTTTGCACAGATATTAAAAGAAATTAAATTTTTAAGAAGTGGGTAGGGTAACTTGTGACCA